ACACCTGATCACCCTACACACACAGTTCTGCCCCTCACACACACACGCTTCAAATCAAGTTGCATAAATGCTTGAGCTACGTTTTTATTATAATTACTGTGAAATCTGCCTATTATGTTTTCGTCATTATTACAACAAACACACACTTGCAACTGATAACACTGGCAATGATTTTAGATGTATTAGACTATTAAAAAAAGAAATCATGCTTCAAATAAGTGGGGGTACGGCGTACCCCCGCGTCCAACGCCCACTACACCACTGACTGCAACTACAAAAAGCTAAGGTTTGTTTTCTCATCAGGAAATGCAGACCGGCTCAAACAAAAGATTTTTAAATCATCATCCTCACGATCATTTAATATATCATATGTTCGCCGAATTGACATGAAAGCACTAATAAATGTAGTTTCATCCACTTGAGTTTACAAAAATAATCGATTTGTTTTTATATCACATCCGACGGGAGGAAATTCAGCAGCTCTCACTATCGATTTGTTATCCTAATTTAATCATCATCTTCACCACGATCATTTATGTTTATGTTCGCCGAATTGACATGAAAGCACTGACAAATATGAATATACTGTAGTCAACTTCATTAAAACGTTATTAACGTGCCTAAACTCAGTAATTCACCATTTCTACGCATTACAACACACTTTGTCCGTGTTTGGCTCTCTCGCCGCACAGTGAAGCGTTCCCGCATTGACGTCACTTCCGGCTTCCCCCAAAACCTCAAAATGAGTCGAAGGAATTTTCCCGCGATGTTCGAAATTATTGATATTTATCGGAACGGTATCGCTTTTTCTTTTTTAAACTGACGGTTCGAGATTACTAGTAGCCCACTATTTCATTGCACAACAGTTGTTGGGTTCGTGTCACAGGCTCTTTAAACCATCTACAAGTAATTGAATACAACTCTAAAATAACAGTTTTCGAGTTAGTATATAGTGATAAAGTGCCCTCTTAATGACTTCCTTAATGTGCTACAGGTGTATGATGGGTTACGTTAACGCCAGTCTCTCAATATTCCGGGTGTCTGACTTCGAGGGGAAATCACAGTCCATGACTAATGGCTCCGAACTGTTTGGAGAAGCTGTGAAGTATTGCAGGTAAGATTTTACAAGTCTCTATTGCACTAAAAAATAAATGTTTGTTGGGAGCATTTTTAAGAGGAATTGGATGCAACCATTTGTTTCAGTTTTTAAGTCTCTGCCTTTTAAGAGTTAGATGTTTTTGCTGTTGCAATAGTGTTACCTACATGATTGGGCGCAGCTTTGCAGTAAAAAACAGTTGATTTTGGACTGATGTAAATATATACTGAAACTTGACTTTTTGGCAGAGAGCGCAAGACAATAATTCTAGTTTTGAGTCTTAATAAAAATAAATACAAATTGGTTTTGCCTTGTTCTGTTTATTAAGCTGTGTCGACATGCTGAGCTTTAGAGATTTTTCTGCTGGCCAATGAATAACTGACATGACTAGATTTATTTAGTGCTACTTTGTGATGACCTTTGAACCCATCTGTTGGACCCACCAGGTATCGGGACTACAGAGAGCTTCCGGACTCCGCTGAGCCGTACGGATACACTCTGCAGTTCTGGCACGTCCTGGCTGCCCGCCTAGCATTCATCATTGTATTTGAGGTCAGCGTCTTTTTCTGATACTAATGATAACAGACGGCAGTCTGGCTTTGGAAATGGATTCTTTCATATATTGTTGTCAATGCTTTTAAGCTTTCTGTCTCCACCATTGAGTGCCCATCTACTCACTAAGCGTTTTAAAGTAACATCAAAAGTGTTATAAATAAAATGTATTAATAATATCATTATTATTAATCATCAATGTCAATGTCTCAAATTCTAAACTCCCTGTGTTCGGTGTTTCCCACCTCATCACTTTAGTATTTCATTAATTAATTGTTTTATTAGGAGACATGGCTCTGGCCTTATGGCTACGGTTAGGTAATGATGTGCTCTGTTTTTGCAGCATATGGTGTTTTCCATCAAGACGCTGATTGCATACCTGATCCCTGACCTCCCCAAAGACCTGCGCGACAGAATGCGTAGAGAGAAATACTTGATCCAGGAGATGATGTATGAGGCCGAGTTGGAGAGACTCCAGAAGGAGAAAAACGACAAGAAGAAGAAGAAAGAACAGGCCCATCACAAGGAATGGCCCTGAACGCAACAACTGGTACAGTTGGAGAATCAGAAAACAGTTTATAAGACATTATTCAGCTCGATTCATGACTCTTTTCGGGTTAAACTGTAGGGTTTTCTCTGTGTGGAAGCCTGGCCAATGTTAGCAGCTCAACTATTAAAATATATGAACACTACCGTTTTAGAAGTATGATTGGCCCAGGCTTTCCGGGGACATACAGTTTTAGCCTCTGTTAGGTCAGTGTCATGTTTAATGTACATTTAAGAGCCCTCTTATATAATTGGCTATTTAATTTGTGTAAGCTGGATGGATTAAAACTTTACAGAAGAGAGTTTTTCAAATCATTGTTTTGGATTTTATTCAACAGAGCAGCTATTCGAGCGGAGAAAGTCAAGGGATGGTGGCTAGAAAGTTTACTATTGTTTACCGTCTGTTGTTTAGTCAAGGACCTATTCTTTTAAAAAGACCACATTTCGATAAAACATATTCTGAAATTGAGTGTAATGTCTGCTAGGGGTGCACAAAAACAGATAAGAGATAGAATCGCGATTCTATCTCTGCCGATTCAGATTAGATTCAGAAATTCCAAGAATCGATTCACATTTTTTTTCTTGCCACAATGCTGTTTTCCATTTTTTATACGACGTGAGCTCCGTAATGTCCCGCTAACATGGCACTTTGACTGGCAGCATCCAGGGAAACACACCAGGAAATCCTCTTCACTCTGTCCGCTCTTCATGCCTCACAGGCCGGACTCGTGAGCCCCCGTAATGTACCGCTAACATGGCACTTAGACTTTATGCAGCAACCAGGAAGCACACCAGGAAATCCTCTTCACTCTGTCCGCCCTTCATGCCTCACAGGGCGGACTCCTGAGCTATTTTGAATCACGAATCGATTTGAATCGCGAATTGATTTTGAATCTAATCGTGATATTTCCTGAATCATGCTCCCCTAAGCCTCACTAATCAATGTATTGCATCCTGTATGTGCTATACAATAATACAAATCTAAGTAGAAAGTAGCTAAGCTAACGTTCACAAGATTCATAACAAGTTATTTGGTTAAGTTGAGTTTTTTATTTAATTTGAACTCTTTCCAGCCTCAGTCCACAAGTGGTTAAAGGTAAATACATTTTACATTGTAAAACATGGGATAGGGTTAGGCTAACCCGTTGGGTTAGGGTTAGTCTAGGGTTAGTCTGACCCTAACCCAACATGCCAGAATAGTTGGCACAATTTGTGGCCAAAACCAAGGAACGACAAACTCATATTAAACCTTTCAGAGTTGTTGACTTATATAATGCTCTATGTTTTTCCAGTGTTAACAGGCCTTACCATATTGTTTTTCCTGTTCCCAGGTTATCAACTGGTGTTTGAAATTCACTGCACAGTGGAGAAAGGGGAGGAGCGCTGGGTTTCCTGCATGATAATGGACCCTCATTCCTTCCTCAAGCCATGTCAGACCAGCACCTCCAAGAGGACAGTAGATGAACTGCATCGAGCGGGCCTTGTGGCTTCAAACATAACGGATGTCCTCTTTTTGCTACTTTTGTTTTTTCCGTGTGTTTTAACCACGTTGGACCATCTATGCTACAGCGTATGTCTTCAGATCCTGAATGTAGATTCCAAGACTAAACTGTTTCTTGATTTAAACAAGAGAACAAACTCTTCCCAGCTTACTGAATGACAAACCCTGTTTACATTTCTCCTTGTTTGAGGAGTTCACATGCTGCTTTATTGTAAATAAAGATATTTAAATGTCCGGCCATCTGCTCTGCTAGTGCAATAAAAAACTGATAATGCAATTTCTGAAGAAATTGCGGTGTTCTTGCTGGCTAGCTACTGACAATAAATGAGTCTGTACTCGGTAGCTAAAGTGTGTTGATTGAAAGCTGAAGATGTATTTGCCTCATGTGTATTAGGGTGCTGAGTAGCATTGCTTAATAAAGAGCTTGAAGCTGAACTGCATTTATGGCTAAAAAAAATGTATTAAGGGGCAGCTAAAGAAGTATGTAGAGTTGGAATGATAGTTATAGTGCGAGCAATAAAAGGTTTTCTTATAAATTGTATAAAGAAGGAGTTGAGGGGTGTGTGTGTGTGTGTGTGTGTGTGCGCGTGCGTGCGTGCGTGCGTGCGTGCGTGCGTGATATTTTAAACTGCAGTTACACCCGTTGACTGTACAAATTCACTGAATTAGAATTTGGAGCTACCTTTTTAAAGTGAGTGGCAGGGTTAGGTAAAAACAACGCTAGCTTACAGTTCTCCAAATAAAAAGATGTCCACATACAAATATACATTGATGTTCTCTTCACTCACATTTGGCCAACAAATCATTCCTTAAAGCACGACCAAGCGTCAAAGCCTTTGTATGCCTTCATACCTGTAAATCAGGTACATATATATGTCAGGAAACCCGAGTCCTGGTTCTTTGTTTACTTGTTTTTTTGCTGTTTTGCTTCTAAAATGTATTTTCTAAGCCTGTCTTACTAGGTGTCATTCTGTCTGCGTTCATAGTTTCATTGTTTAAACAAGGACACATTTGTTTACAACTTGATGACAGAACTTTGCAAAGTCTGAGAATAAGTTCAAGAGAAACTTTAAAGAGAAATGTAACCCAACTAACTTAAAACATTGAGTCCTTTTATTTAACTCTGCACAACATGCCAGAAAAGCTTTGACCGATTATGCTTCACCGATTATTTCTGATAATGTCGTGGATGAGCTGAACATTTTGACGTTTAAATTAAGTTGAACAGGTTTGCAGAAGAAAAAGGATAATAAATGTTGGCCCAGCAATCCCACCAATAAAAGTTATTTAGATATCTCTATGAAATATGTGGCAGTGTCTACAGCTGGCTAGAATGGAAAATGCTTTCCATTTGAATTTAGATCCATAACTGCATTAATAAACATTATTTATTGTAAATACATTTGACTTTGACTTTTTTCTCTTTCTTTGTGTCGAATTGAGATGGTACAACACTTTTAACCTCCCTAAAAAGATATACCTGTGCAAAAATATGTAATGATTCTACTGTTAGAAGCAAAACCACCTTACATTTGAATACAGAGCAGATTTATTTAAATGACATTTGAGCTAAAAGCAGACCTAAAGGGGCCATATGATGCTTTTTTTAGGGTTTTCCTTTCAGGTATTGTGTTATATAAGTAGTTGTTTATGTAAATGGTCTGCAAAGGCAGAAATCGGCCATTTAAGATAATGATAATACATATTATTAAACCTTCTGGGAATTCCATTTCCCAACAAAACATTCAAAGCCTTAGCCACTTTGTGATATCAAGACTGGGGAGAAATGGCTTAGGCCTTTATTTATTTGCTATACTTTTGACATATTTGAAAACACTTTAACAACACTGTAATCAGCTGTTACCCACCAAGCAGAGGTTTGCAGTTGAGTTGAGTGTAAACTCCTCGAGGGTTGCTAAAATCAGCCTCTGTGTAAACATCATTGTTGATGTAAATCTCTCTCACACCACCAGAGGGGATCAGAGTGCTTACACTTCAGCACACCGTACAGTCACACTAAGTTATTGTCATGGTTCTCATGATTACATAATAACAATAACAACAATATACTTTTCCCAATTTGTACATAATGCAAATTGAGTGAATTCAGGGAGGGGGAGATTATCCTTTAACATCCATCACACATGTTTTAATATCAATTCAGATTGTATGCTGCAGTTGGCCAAAAGGAAGAACAGCTTGTTATCCCCCTCAGTCATTAAAGCTCCATACGCTTTGATGAAACACAGCACTGCCTCCACAATTATGTATTTACATGGGCCTCTCCACGGAAAAGCATAAAAGTGATTCTATAATTTCACTTTCAAATACATCTGTAGCTGTGTCTAACACAATGCAAATCCCAAACACATGCATTTACACAACAACATCTATCAATATCTGCTCATTTTGAACATACAAATAATCATAGATTAGAGATCAGGGGCTTGTCCTCCAGCAAAGATTAATTACTCTGGTGGCATTGGCAGAAACTCCATTTTGATTATTAAAAGCAGGGGACAGAGGAGGCAAACTGTGTTTTGTTTTCTATCAGGGGAACTCTTCTCCTCCCTAAGAGGATTATCCCGGACACACGCTTAGGAGTTATGTAAGGCAGTCAGAGGATAACATCTGACATTTCCTCATATCCTTCATTTTGGCAGCCGAGTTAAGGGAATGTAGATGGGTTAGCATGTTTGTAAAAGAAAGACAGATATGTAGACTCACTAAACAGTAATGATGACTTTTATATTTAGCATGGAAGGACCTGTCACCTTAATTCTCTATTTTAAAATATATTTTGACTAGCAAAGCATAGGTTCTGTGATAAAGACTTTATTGTATATTATTTGTATACTTCGTACAGTGCATTTCTTTTTGCACATTTCTGCACAAATCTACCACTACATATATATGTTTTTCATATTTTTATTTTGTTTTCCTTCTCTGTTTCTTGACCTTTGCAAAACTTGCTTTGATTTTTTAAAATGTTCTGCACTACTACACCAAAAGAAATTGGTAAAATCCATTTAGCAATATAATGGATTCTGATTCTGAAAAGAAACGGCAACGATGAACATCTTTATTTAATTTGAAGGTCTTTCAAAGAAAGAAAACAGGACAAAATGGTTCTGAGTGGTATTTCAATGATGTGAATACTTCAGAAGGACAGGGGGAAATTATGAAGCAACAAAGAAAAAAGCTTGACTCAGAAAAAGAGACATATCACTTTTTGATTTCAGTTCTTGGAATGTCCAATGTTCCATATTAAATCTGCGTTCATAAACATATTTGAATTAACAATGGATCAAATAACTGGGTCATGTGAAAGGTGATGCTCATCCTTTCCCTGGATATTCTTTCAGCTCTTTGTTTTGGTTTAAAAGCCTTTAACTTCACTTTTTGGTTCACTCTCTCAGCTCTAATCAGTTTCATTATGTCACTTAAAATTGTTTGTCAGCAGGATAAGTGAAAAAGGATAGGATGAACTTTTTATGACACTTGTTGAAAGGGTGTATAGCAAGTATATAAATAGTATCCAAATAACGGGAAGGCAACACAAATAATTTCTCACTTTGGTTAACGTTGCCGGATAGCGCATTTAGCTTTAGAAAAGATCTGTGTTCCAAGTGCCCTTAAGTTCCCAGCTGCTGATAACCCCACTGTGACAAAGCAACATGGCGACCAGCTAGTAAAGGTGGCAGGACATACAGAACAAAACAGACATTTCCCTTTGTTTAGGGAAGGCCATTGGGAACTTTTGGGGCCGTTAAGGAGAGTAAAGTCTTCAAAGTCTCTGTCGTCTTGACCTGCTACCTCTTATCCCACAAACCACAAACATTTTGGAATTTGCGGTGATATTCCTCTGCCGCAGACAACTGACCTTATTGGATTCGTCCATCATTCTTACAAACATATCCCATCTGAACGTGTGAAGCTGACAATTGAGCGGCCCCAACCGAGCAAGGAGGCAGAGGCAGAACATCCAAAAATATAACCCGGTGTGGGCATTTATTAAACTCGAGCACAGGACACAGCCTCAATCTTGCTGTTCCCATGAGCACAGTCACCAGCCAAAAGGATCTCACACACACACAAACAGGAAACACAGAGCCCAAATACCCTCAGACTAATCAAACCAACAAGACACAGGTGAGGGGGGAGGAGACAACACAGGGCACCAGGTGGCCACAATCACCAGTAACAGACATGGGGGAAGGGGAACACTTTTCAGAATAAAACCAGCAAACAGAGACAGACAAACTAAAACACAAACAGATGCACAAACTACATACATTTCGCCACCAACGAAGCTACACAATCCGTAACGGAGGCCGAGATCTATGGCCCCAGAGATCACCTCCGTTACAGAACGAAACGCTCTATGTGCATTGTGCTGAATCTCTTTCATGGACAAATGTATTATATTTTAGGCAACTGCTGAAGATGAACAGTATTAAACATTCTGAGAGTCTGTGATGCCGGCTCAGTTAAGCTTGAAATCAAATACATCTGATTGCCCAAATATGTATGTGTTCATGTCCTGACGTCTCAGTTCATTTGGAATATTTACATCCACTGGAGGCCAAAACACATCAGACGATAGCTTCATGGTGTACTGATGAATCACCGCATGCTTCAGATAAGGAGGGCTGTTTGTCTGCTGGCGGGCAGATTGTTTGCACTCAGACACTCGAGAACAACGACTTGATGTCACATCCTGGATCATGGCTGCCATGCCAGGAAAACTAAGAAACAACATGAAAAGAACAACAGCGGTTTCCAGGGCAACACAACTCAGAAGTTCTTGAAACAAAGTTGTTCATCTCTTATATTATGCCCTTGTGAAGTCACTTGGACTTTAGGGAAATGAAGGTTACTTGACAAACAATGCACCCTCAAGCAATATGACTGGGTAAAGTGTGATGGGGGGGAGGTAACTGCTATGGTTACAGCAAGGAAGGTGAAATGAGGCTGAATTAATTGTGTCCTTGTATACTCCCTGTGTCTGAAACTCAGTCGTGTTGCTTTTGACTTCATTAAGCTGCCGTCATTAGCTTCTTATTGCAAATGATCTTCATTCTAAGCTGTCACTAGACTGAGTATGTGACCTTCTCTTGTCTCTTTCAGAGGAAATGTCACTAACACACAAACACCTCAACTACATAACTGGGCTTAAGAGCTGCGAGAGTTTGTCAATTCAAGTTTTTTCAAGAGAGAGTTAACTTATAATAAATGTTCTGTTTATACTGTACTGTGAATCCAAGACAATATGTAAACTGGCGGCAGTTTCCAGATTGCACATTTTAATGACAATCTGACCTCACCAACTCCTTCCTCCCTCCGATGGTCCCACATTATGCCCAACAGCCTGGCTTATCAGTCATTATCATTCCTCCCTATCTTATTGTGGGCTGAACACTCACTCCTTCACTAGATAGCTCACTTTACTCTCACATCACTGAATCACACACTCCCCTCTCTCTGCCTCCCCCACTTTCGCTCACAGGCCTCTTAAACTAAAGCATACAGGAAACATAATGTCTCTATCCTAAGCTCTACTGCTCTACTCTCAAGCACTTCATCATTATAAGCTCGCTAAATAATGTTCATGACCCTTGATAATGATCTTTGAACTCCTTAAAAGGGTTACTCATACAGTATTGGTCTTATAGTTTGAAGTATTGGTTTCATATTCATCTTTAAAGCTGTCTGGAGGCAGTCATATAAAAAGGTATGAAAATGAGGCGTGTGGCGCAGTGGACTAGTGCGTTGGTGTTGGGATCAGGGGAGCACAGGTTCAAACATGTCAACATGTCGTTGTGTCCCTGGGCAAGACACTTCACACTTCATCCCAAATTGCTCCTGTGGGGATTGCCCACAGTATTGAGTATGTAAGTCGCTTTGGATAAAAGTGTCTAACAAGTAACATGTAGTGAAATGTAATGGAATGTAATGAAATGGCTGCCCTTAGATGCATACTGGAGATGATTCATATTGAACCATTTTTGTAAATAATAGTTTAAATAAACGAATTATTTCTCAAATTACTTTATCCATTTATTATTCTACATATTCAAACAACCCCTTATGCCTCAAGTTCAAGCAGGAAGACTGGTTATACATTCAGTCACTCCACCGCTGCATATAATCATCTTATCATGGGTCTTCTCTTTTAACCAATTATATTTCACCACAATCTCCAGCAGCCAATCATTGTGCTGCAGTCAAACTTTGGGCCCGCCTCTACTCCATTTACCTCCTGTCATAATGTCCAGTGCCCAAGAGAGCTAATCCAAAGACCACACCTCATCACATCTCCTCTTCTTCCCATCTCCTCATCAAATCCAGATCTTCAGCATCACCACCTGTTTCC